CCTCCCCACGCTCCCAGTCCTCAGTCTCACAGATCCACCCAAGCTCCCCATTCTGGAGCACAGCTCTGTAATGGAAAGTGAAGGAGCTGGGCTGGTTCCACCTGGAGAAGAGAGGGATCTGTGGAAATCCCACTGCGGGTTTCTGGTGCTTGGAAGGAGCACTACAGAAGAAGAAGAAGAACTTTGGCGTGGGGCCCTGGGCAGCCTGGCTGAGAGGGACGCAGCCAGGACGTGGCAGAGGGGTGGTGCTGGCTGGACCGCAGGGCGCCTTCCAACCCGTGTGGTCCTACGATCCTATGGAGGTGTTGCCAACCCCACATGATCCCCCTTCACCTTACACAGCTGTCAGCATGGGACCACCCTCTCTGTCCTGCAGCTGCAGGGATGCAGGGATCGCAGAGCTGCCCAGTGCTGTGCCCAAACCCTGCCCCCCTGCCCCGAATGCGCTCGCAGCCCTTACCCTTCACCAACTCGCAGTTGTAGGTGCTGTTGTTCCCCTGGGAGCGGAGCTGGATGGAGGTAAGGCCTTTGTTATGGGTGATGCTGGTGACCCTGAAGCGCTCAGAGGCTGGGATGAGGACTTTGCCCTCGGCTGGGAATGTGGTGAAGTTCTGGAGAGGCACACCATAGCAGGTCTCCACCGAGAAGAATGTGTCTGGACCGTACGCACTGGGGAGGTTCTTCTGGAGGGACGAGAAGGTGAACTGGCCAAAGCGAACCACCTGGCCTTGCTGTGCTGTGTAGCGGATGCCCCTGACACCGCGGTACACCTGGAAGCATCGCTGGGTCTGGGATTCCCGCAGGGTCTGCAGGGCTCTGCTCAGGAGGAAATGCAGCGTCTTGAAGGGGTAGGAGCTCAGGTAGTGCTGCCGGGAGCTCCCAGCCGTGAGCGTGGCGTTGTTGAACTGGTGGTACAGGTTCCCCTGTATCATGTATGCCAGCATGGCTGTGGCCTGATCCCGTCTCAGTGCTGGTGGGCGGGCAGCTCGGCCCCATCGGCTCTGCCATTCCGCAGCTGCCCTTCTCCAGTCATGGGCGTAGATGTTGAACTCGGTGCGGTTCAGCTCCGGCAGCTCAGCCTCCATCAAGTCGATGCAGCCCTGGTACTGGTCATCAAAGGAGTTGGGGGCCGTGTCCATCGCCACCTCCTTGATCTGGCTGTTCTTAATGCCGGCAGCCGATGCAGCAGTCCAGGTGCCGAGCAGCAGCACCCAGCCCAGGAGGACGTGCTCCATGTGCAGAAGGATGCAGGAGCCCAGCTGCCCACACAATGGTTCCCCCAGCACAGCCCAACCAGCCCCGGAGCTGCAGCCGGCTTCGTCCCCACTCTGCTTGGCATGAACCTGGGTGCCCTGTCTTGGGTGATACGGTTCTTTATACACCAACCGCCTGTGACCTCTGAGAATTGCCGTTGCTGCTGAGTTTCTGCTGCATGCACAGCACGAGGAAGTGCCCTTCCAGCAGTCACCCTCACTTTCGATGTGTGTGAGTTCCCACACACAGTGTGAGTTGCCACATGCGGTCATCTCAGTTCCCCAGGTCTTCCTTTTCTGCTTCTTAGTAATGGGGCACAGCAGGAGTAAAGGATTGTCCCTCTGCTCCTTCATCATGAGG